TTGGAATCCCCATTTTTGGGGTCTCTCCCCATTTTTGGGATCCCCATTTTTGAGGTCCCCCATTTCTCAGCCTCCCATTTTTGGGGTCTCCTCCATTTCTTGGGGTCCCCCATTCTCAGCCCCTGAAATTTTTGAGATCCCCCATTTTTTGGGGTCTCTCCCCATTTCTCCCCCGAATTTTTGGGATCTCCCATTTTAGGGTCCCCCAAGTTTTGGAATCCCCCATTTTTAGGGTCCCCCAAGTTTTGGAATCCCCCATTTTTGGGGTCCCCCATTTTTCAATCCCCCAATTTCGGGGTCCCCTCATTTTTGGGGTCCCCATTTCTCAGCTCCCCCAATTTTAGGGTCTCCCCTTTTTGGAATCTTCCCCATTTTTGGGGTCCTCCCATTTTTGGGGTCTCCTCCCCATTTCTTCCCCCAGAATTTTTGGGATCTCCCATTTTAGGGTCCCCCCATTTTGGAATCCCCCCATTTTTGGAATCCCCATTTCTCAGCCCCCCCATTTTTAGGGTCTCCTCCCCCATTTCTCCCCCCGCCCTGAATTTTGGGATCCCCCATTTTTAGGGTCCCCCCAAGTTTGGAATCCTCCCATTTTTGAATCCCCCATTTTTTTGAATCCCCCATTTTTGGGCCCCCAACTTTTGGGGTCCCCATTTTGGGATCCCCCATTTTTGGGGTCTCCCCATTTTTGGGTCTCCTCCCCATTTCTTCCCCCGAATTTTGGGATCTCCCATTTTGGGATCCCCATTTTGGGGTCCCCTCTCAATCTTTTGGGGTCCCCCTCACCTGGGTGACGCTGATCTCCTGCAGGGGGCTGCGGGGGGCAATCCTAGGGGGCTCAGGGCCCTGCCCTCCCCCCACCCCGAATCCGCCTTGTTCTGGAAATTTCCACCACGCACGTCACCTGTGGGGAGGGGCGGCTTTGGGGGCTTTGGAGGTCCCTGGAGGGTTAGGGAGTCCTGGAGGATTTAGAGGGTCCCAGAGGAGGTCTTGGGATCCTGGGGATTTAGGGGTCCTGAGGGGTTGGGGGTCCCTGGGGGGCTTTAGGGGTCCCTAGGGGTTTAGAGGGGTCCCTAGGGGAAATTAGGGGTCCTGGGGGCTTTAGGGGTCCCAGGGGGTTTAGAGGGTCCCAGGGAAGTTAGGGGGTCCCTGGGGATTTAGGGGATCCCTGGGGGTTTAGGGGTCCCAGGGGGTTTAGGGGGTCCTGGGGGATTTAGGGGTCCCAGAGGAGGTTTAGGGGTCCCTGGGGGATTTAGGGGAGTCCCAGGGGATTTAGGGGTCCCAGAGAGGTTTGGGGTTCCCTGGGGGCTTAGGGGGTCCCAGAGGAGGTTTGGGGTTCCCAGGGGAGTTTGGGGGTCCCTGGAGGGTTTAGGGGTCTCTGGGAGATTTAGGGGTCCCAGAGGGATTTAGGGGATCCTTGGGGGATTTAGGGGCCCCAGGGAGGTTTGGGGGTCCCAGAGGAGGTTTGGGGTCCCATGGGGATTTAGGGGTCCCAGTGGGATTTAGGGGTCCCAGAGGAGGTTTGGGGTCTCAAGGGGAGGTTAGGGGTCCCAGGGGGCTTAGGGGGTCTTGGGGTGTTTTAGGGGATCCCAGAGGAGGTTTGGGGGTCCCTGGGGGATTTAGGGGTTTGGGGGTGTTTTGGGGATGTTTTTGGGGTCTCCCCAGGAAGGCAGCGATCCCAGTCCCACACAGGAACCGGGGGTTTGGGGGCAGGTTTTGGGGTTCTGGGGCAGGTTTTGGGGTTCAGGGTGTTTTGGGGGTTTGGGGCAGGTTTTGGGGTTCTGGGGCAGGTTTTGGGGTTCAGGGTGTTTTGGGGGTCTCCTAGGAGGCAGGCGTTGCCGGGGTTCTGAGGCAGGTTTTGGGGTTCAGGATGTTTTGGGGGGTTTGGGGGCAGGTTTTGGGGTTCAGGGATGTTTTGGGGGGTTCAGGATATTTTGGGGTATTTTTGGGGTGTTTCGGGGTCTCCCCAGGAAGGCAGCGATGCCAGTCCCGCACAGGAACCGGGGGTTTGGGGGCAGGTTTTGGGGTTCTGGGGCAGGTTTGGGGGTTCAGGGATATTTTTGGGGGTGTTTTTGGGGTCTCCCCAGGAAGGCAGCGATCCCAGTCCCGCACAGGAACCGGGGGTTTGGGGTTCCAGGAAGGTTTGGGGTCACTGGGGGTTCAGGGATGTTTTGGGGTGTTTTTGGGATGTTTTTGGGGTCTCACCAGGAAGGCAGCGATGCCAGTCCCGCACAGGAACCAGGGGGGGTTTGGGGGCAGGTTTGGGGGTTCAGAGATGTTTTTGGGGGGTGTTTTGGGGTCTCACCAGGAAGGCAGCGATGCCGGTCCCGCACAGGAACCGGGGGGTTTGGGGGCTCACAGGAAGGTTTGGGGGCAGGTTTTGGGGTTCAGGATGTTTTGGGGGGTTTGGGGGCAGGTTTTGGGGTTCAGGATGTTTTGGGGGGGTTCAGGGATATTTTTGTGTTGTTTTTGGGGGTGTTTTGGGGTCTCACCAGGAAGGCAGCGATGCCAGTCCCGCACAGGAACCGGGGGGGTTTGGGGGCAGGTTTTGGGGTTCTGGGGCAGGTTTTGGGGTTCAGGATGTTTTTGGGAGTTCAGGGGTGTTTTTGGGGTATTTTTGGGGTATTTTGGGGTCTCACCAGGAAGGCAGCGATCCCGGTCCCGCACAGGAACCCCCCCAGGACGTCCCCCCAGCTGTTCCTGTGCTCGGCCACCCTCAGGGCCCCCAACAGGAACGGGGGGGCTGCGAACCCCAAAACTGCTGCGGGCTTGGCCAGGCGGGACCCCCCCCCACGCCAGGCCAGGGTCACGTAGAGCTGGGGGGGAAACATGGGGTCACCCCAAAAATACACCCCAAAATACCCCAAAACACCCCCAGCATCCCAAAACACCCCAAAACCCTCCACAGAGACCCCCAAATCCATCCCCCCCCCACCAGGCCAGGCCAGGGTCACGTAGAGCTGGGGGGGAGACACGGGGTCACCCCAAAAATCCACCCCAAAACACCCTCAAAGAACCCAAAATACCCCAAACCCCCCAGCATCCCAAAACACCCCAAAGCCCCCCATAGAGACCCCCAAATCCATCCCCCACGCCAGGCCAGGGTCACACAGAGCTGGGGGGGAGACACGGGGTCACCCCAAAAATACACCCCAAAACACCCTCAAATAACCCAAAATACCCCCAAACACCCCCAGCATCCCAAAACAACCCCAAACACCCCAAAACCCCCCATAGAGACCCCCAAATCCATTCCCCACGCCAGGCCAGGCCAGGGTCACACAGAGCTGGGGGGGAGACACGGGGTCACCCCAAAAATCCACCCAAAAACACCCTCAAATAACCCAAAACACCCCCAGCACTCCAAAACCCCCCAAAACACCCCAAAACCCTCTACAGACACCCCAAACCCCACAGACACCCCCAAATCCATCCCACCCCCCCACCAGGCCAGGGTCACACAGAGCTGGGGGACACGGGCGTCACCCCAAAAATACACCCCAAAACACCCCAAAATACCCCAAAACACCCCCAAACACCCCAGCATCCCAAAACAACCCCAAACACCCCAAAACCCTCCACAGACACCCCCAAATCCATCCCCCTCCACCAGGCCAGGGTCACACAGAGCTGGGGGGGAGACACGGGGTCACCCCAAAAATCCACCCCAAAACACCCCAAAATACCCCCAAACCCTCCCCATATCCCAAAACACCCCAAAACCCTACACAGACACCCCAAAACCCACAGACACCCCAAATCCATCCCACCCCCCTCCTCCCCAGGCCAGGGTCACACAGAGCTCGGGGGGACAGGGCACAGTCACCCCAAAAATCCACCCCAAAACACCCTCAAAGAACCCAAAATACCTCCAAATCCCCCAGCATCCCAAAACACCCCAAAACCCCCCAAAACCCTCCACAGACACCCCAAAACCCTCCACAGACACCCCCAAATCCATCCCCCCCCCAGCCAGGCCAGGGTCACACAGAGCTGGGGGGAGACACGGGGTCACCCCAAAAATACCCCCCAAAACACCCTCAAATACCCCAAAACACCCCCAGCATCCCAAAACACCCCAAACCCCTACAGAGACACCCCAAAACCCTCCAGAGGGACCCCCAAATCCACCCCCCCCCAAGCCAGGCCAGGGTCACACAGAGCTGGGGGGGGACACGGGGTCACCCCAAAAATACACCCCAAAACACCCTCAAATAACCCAAAATACCCCCAAAACACCCCCAGCATCCCAAAACACCCCAAAACCCTACAGAGACACCCCAAAACCCACAGGGACCCCCAAATCCACCCCCCCACGCCAGGCCAGGGTCACACAGAGCTGGGGGGGACAGGGGTCACCCCAAAAATACACCCCAAAACACCCCTAAAATACCCCAAAATACCCCCAGCATCCCAAAACACCCCACAGACACCCCAGGACCCCCAAATCCCCCAAATCCACACCCCAGTGGAGGTCCCAGTGGAGGTCCCCAAGAACCCCCCCAGGACCCCCAAATTCCCTCCCAATAAACCCCCCCAATCCCAATATAACCCCCCAAACCCCAAATAACCCCATTATAAAGCCCCCAAACCCCAAATAACCCCAACATAACCCCCCAAACCCCAAATAACTCCAAATATAACCCTCAAACCCCGATATAACCCCTCAAACTCCCAATATAACTCCCAATATAACCCCCTAACCCCAACATAACCCCCAAACCCCAAATAACCCAAATATAACCCCTCAAACCCCAATATAACCCCCCCAAAACCCCAATATAACCCCTCAAAACCCAACATAACCCCCCAAACCCTGATATAAACCCCCAAACCCCAACATAACCCCATTATAACCCCCCAATCTCCAATATAACCCCAAATAACCCTGATATAACCCCCTCAAACCCCAAATAACCCCCCAGGACCCCCAAAACCCCAATATAACCTCAATATTCCCCCAACCCAAATATAACCCCCAAATCCCCCCAAACCCCAATATAACCCCCAAACCCCAATATAACCCCAATATTCCCCCCAAAACCCCAACATAACCCCAATATTCCCCCCCAAACCCCCATATAACCCCAAATAACCCCAATATTCCCTGATATAACCCCAATATTCCCCCCAAACCCCAATATAACCCCCCAAACCCCAAATATAACCCCAATATTCCCCCATATAACCCCAATATAACCCCAATATTCCCCCATATAACCCCAATATAACCCCAAATAACGCCAATATTCCCTGATATAACCCCAAATAACCCCAATATAACCCCAAATAACCCCAACATTGCCTGATATAACCCCAAATAACCCCAATATAACCCCAATATAACCCCAATATAACCCCAATATTGCCCCATATAACCCCAAATAACCCCAATATAACCCCCCCAAACCCCAAATAACCCCAAATAACCCCAAATAACCCCAATCTAACCCCAATCTAACCCCATATAACCCCAAATAACCCCAAATAACCCCAATATAACCCCCCCAAACCCCAAATAACCTCAATATCCCCCCAAATAACCCCAAAATAACCCCCCCAAACGCACCCCAGCGAAGGTTCCCGCGTAGGCCCCGAGCGCGGCCTCCTTGCAGGGGAAGGCCCAAATAACCCCAATATTGCCTGATATAACCCCAAATAACCCCAAATAACCCCTCCAAACACCAAAATAACCCCAATTAACCCCGATATTCCCTGATATAACCCCAAATAACCCCAATATCCCCCCCAAACGCACCCCAGCGAAGGTTCCCGCGTAGGCCCCGAGCGCGGCCTCCTTGCAGGGGAAGGCCCAAATAACCCAAATATTGCCCCATATAACCCCAAATAACCCCAAATAACCCCAATATTACCCTGATATAACCCCAAATAACCCCAAATATAACCCCAATATCCTCCCCAAACGCACCCCAGCGAAGGTTCCCGCGTAGGCCCCGAGCGCGGCCTCCTTGCAGGGGAAGGCCCAAATAACCCCAATATTGCCCCAAATAACCCCAAATAACCCCAATATTGCCCCATATAACCCCAAATAACCCCAAAATAACACCCCAAACCCCAAATATAACCCAAAATAACCCCCCAAACGCACCCCAGCGAAGGTTCCCGCGTAGGCCCTGAGCGCGGCCTCCTTGCAGGGGAAGGCCCAAATAACCCCAATATTGCCTGATATAACCCCAAATAACCCCAATATAACCCCAACATTGCCTGATATAACCCCAAATAACCCCAATTAACCCCAAATAACCC